CGTCACTCACAAGTTAGTTTGATGTTACGTACATTATTAACATTACAGAATCCACATATTCCTGCCAGTTTTAATATGTATTTTGTAATCAACAAGTGTGTAACACCGGTCAAAGTTTGACACTTCTCTGGCCATTATCTCCGTAACCGTTCAACTTTGGACATAGGTGTTTTGGGTTATGTCGGCATACTTGAACATAAGGAACACCCTCCTGAAGTTTGGTCCATTCCTCCTGGGACACCCTGTATATGATATAGCATTTTCATCCATGATAGTTAAAGAGTTAAGAAGAAATTTCCCACATGTAACTGGTATCTGTAATACTTCATAGTTTTTCATCCATTACATATACATAACACTAGATTGAGATGAGTGGTCAGCTTCACACCCGAGCTGCTTTACTGAAGTATTAACATCACAATATTGAGTTATTAATACAGAAAAATGAACTCCAGATTAAAGCAGTGATTTAATTAAAAATGTCTTTCATGTAATTTTACTTGACTTAATACAGTAAATCCTCGCATAACATTGTTCCATTATTAGGAATATACTGATCCTATTTTCATACCAAGGCTCCACAAAATGTCATTCATATGTCACTAGTGGTTTGACATTACTGGTTGAGGAAGCAAAAGAAGGCTGTGAAGATTATAATTGAATTGAATTGAATTGAATTTATTTACATTCTATAAATCCTAAGTAGGTTAGTACCTTTGGATACAGAACAAGTCAAAAGGTTACATACAAAAGTACAGGCAATTTTAGCTTAAAGATTAATATAACTTAATTTTACATCATTCTCTATTTACATTGAAGTATTCATCTAAAGAGTAGAAGGAATGAGCATGTAGATAATTCTTTAACTCTGATTTAAACTTTTTAGTATCATTGCCCAAGTTTTTAATACTTTGTGGCAGATTGTTGAACACTTTTACGCCAGTAAAGTAGACTCCTTTTTGATATACTGAGAAAGTTGATGAGGGTAGGTGGAAGTTATATTTTGTCTAGTATTCATGTTATAGACATCAGAATTTAATCCCCAGAACTTGCACTTCTTAATGTTGTAGGATTTTTTCATTCTGTTACGCTTAAAGTGGGACGAAATGACAGGAGGCTGGAGAAAGCTGCATAATGAGGACCTTCATAACTTGTACTCTTTGCCAAATGAAGCGTAGGTACCCTACAGAGGATCCTTCAGGTTGTGTATAGGTTCTCGTGATCACAGGACAGGGCGAGCAGGGGAGGACAAAGAAATCAGCAAGGCGGAAATACCCAAACAGAAATAGCCAAATCAAATATTAACAAAGAATAAATATAATATATTAACAAAGAAAGAATACAAACATAATGTAAATACCTGTATCAGAATGATTGCAGAGTTTGGTGTTCTGAGATAGAATACCACGTAGAGAAATTAATTTGGACGGTCGAGGATGACCTCGACCAGTGGTCCGAAACGAGAACAACCTACCCCATCAACGGTTGGGAAGCCAAGCGCCCTTAGCTCTGCTCGTTAGGCCGCTAAGTTGGCTCGGAAGGGGAAGGAGAGAGGGGGACAGTAGAGAAAGTAGAGGGGAGAAGTGCGCACACAGACCACGGATAGGAGCTGACGTCACACAAATACAATTAAAATTCAAGTCAGTGAAGATGAAATGGAAAGGACATGTAGCACACATGGGAGAGAAGAAGTATGCATGCAGAGTTTTGATGGAAGAGCCAGAAGGAAAGAACCACTAGGATGACATACGAGTAGATGTAGGTGGGAGGATAATATTAAAATGGATCATAGAGAAGTAGGATGGGGTAGTATGGACTGAATTCATCTGGCTGAGGATAGGAGTGGTAGGCTCTTGTGAACACAATACTGAACTTTCAGTTTCCATAAAATGTTGGAGAATCCTTGAGTCCCCCAGTGGTTGTTGGTAATCAAGAAGGTCTCAGCTCCATGGAATTAGTTATTGCTGATAGTGGAATTAAACATTCTTAGTGATTTTGCAATATCAGCACATATTTCACCTTTGTCAATATGCTTTAAAATTTCTAATTTAAGTTTGTAAGTAGGTTTGTATGTGTTCATTTATTTTATCCACCTGCATGGTCAGTATTAGTTTCCCTTTTTTATGCTATATCAGCATTTATAACAGTTTTAATAAGTGATTAAGACAAAATAGTGATTCAAATCAACTCAAATTCAACCAGGAAGAATGGTGCCTGGACTAGAACTGATGCTTGTGTGGTCAGGCATCAGAAAAGCATGATGAATTTCATCATTGTTTCAGGGAGCCTTGGTCAAGTGAACAACTTTTGGCCAGTCAGCAGTCAGACTGAGGTGTAAATGTATAAATATTAAATTCCTGAGTTGCTTAAACATGAAACAGCTTGATGTCAGGAGTCCCTTATATACTTATTTGAGTCTTATTAAGCTCTTGTACTAGCAGTTTATTTGAGCACCTCTGTAATGCATATATCTTTTAAAATTTCAATGTGGAAATCTATCTCAGTATTATAATCATAATTAATTCACTTTCAGATCGCAGTAGAAGCAGTTGGTAACATCCGTACTGTGGCAAGTCTGGGACGAGAACAGACATTTCACGAGCTATACATGTTGGAATTACTTCCAGCTCATAAAGTAGCATTACGCAACACTCATATACGAGGACTAGTGTTTGGATTGGCCCGAAGTATAATGTTCTTTGCATATTCTACAACCATGTACTATGGTGGACAACTTATGGTTGAAGATGGAATTCCCTTTGAAACTATTTTGAAGTAAGTAAATGTTAATTTTCATTCCATTTTCATTTTCATTGTTCATGTGAGATAGTGTTTTTGAGAGATGTATCCATGATGGCAGAGACACTGGGCATTGAAATTTAGCAGGTGTGCTTAAGGAACTGAAAACGACTTGTATTATTTTTGTCATATCCAACTGATGGCAAGTAACAATGTCCAAATTTTGTGACCAGTTTCAGTCAAACCCAGTATGATTGATCTAAAAGTTTCTGACGATGGTATATTAATAAAATTATTGACATTTTGGACATCCATCATCCTGATTTTAATTTAAAAACAGGATGACGGATAATGTTTAAAAAGTTAATCAGTTATCAGTATGATTGACCTTCACTCACTTTTGTCAGGTCCTTTCAATTTGGGGTTTTGATTTCATCTTAAAGGCTACTTCACTTAAGAGCCTGATCACATCCTTATATAACTTTCAGCACTGTTTCATATTTTTTGATGAAACTTGGCATATAATAGTTGAGTTATATGATTTATTCAAAATCAGTGACTAATGTGCAGGTGCTTAATGGCAACACATATAATTCAAGCAGGTTGTGTACAGATTCAAGTGAGACAGTAAGGTCCCCACAGGAAAGAATATTGAAAATGATACCCATTTGGTTATAAGATGTGCCAATAAAAATGTGAAAACAATACTACCATAAAAATTATGTCTGAGTATTAGGTTACTGTTTTATATGGACTGTTTTGTTTTTCCTTTCATATAGGGTAGGACAGACACTGATGATGGGTACAATGTCAATAGCCAATGCCATAGGCTTTGCTCCCAACTTCCAAAAAGGAATTGCTGCAGCTTCACACATCTTTCATCTTCTGGATAGGAAACCACAAATCTATGATCCTCCACAAGTCAGTGAAAGAAACTGGGTAAGTATACTACTGAACCACTTAGTAACATAGCACTGTTACTAACATAATGCAAAATATGTATTTGAAGTTTAAGGTTCTTACATGGTTTGTTGAGGCCTATAAGTTTTAATTTCTTGAGTTTATGTGCCATGTTGTGATGTTTGCCAGTGTTTCAGAGAAATTGGAATCTCTGATTTTCAGGATAAAATGACACAGCAAACCTAGATGTCAGACTACTGTGCTTTGGAACTGTGAAAATAAGTTCTGAAGATGGAGAGTGCTGATTCCTCCAAGACATCTGCAGAAACAAGACTTCCACAATAGGGTGCCATTTTTCATACACAGAATCACGAGTTTCAAAATATAGTGTGGCATGTAGATCCGTTGCTAGGCAACAACTGCAAGATAAGCAAATATACAACCCCCATTTCTGAATAATAGCTTCACAAACAAACATGTTTCCATGGCAACAATTGCACAGCAATAATGGAACTGTGTTTTCTGTGTGATCCATTCCAAGATGTTACAAGCAAGACAGCTGAGTGTTGACAGTTGGAACAATGAGTTATGAGTTAATTATGAGATTGTCACCAGGAAAAAACTGGTGAGGATTTAGCAGACTGAGAAGACTTTATGTGTGCTGTGGTTACAGCACTCAGTGAGACTGTCATAGTTATTTGTAGTTTCATTCTGTAAGAGTTCTATAAATCCAGTTACAAATTCAAACCCCACCTATAGTCAATTACATGAGATCTGGTGTCAGAAATGTGACTGGGTTGATCGAACTGTTGGATTGTAGACTATATTGTCACACTATGAAGATGGAACAAATACTGGCATGCCTGCTGGCTGAAATGAATGCCATACAGGAAATTGTGGAAGCCAAGACATGTGCCAGTCATGAAAAAATGCTTGCCAAGATGGATGCCAATCAGGAAACATTGGAAGACAAAATGGACTCTCATGAGGTGATGGTGATAGTGAAAGCCAGTCAAGAAAAGATAAAGGCCATGTTGGAGTCCTGTCTAGAGAAAATGGAGGTCATGGATTTGGAGGCAAATCCAGCAGATGTAGAGTTTTGAGTCAGAGCATCAGGAAGCCTCTAAGGAAGAGGCTACAGTGGAAACTATCGGAACACTGAGCACTGGAGGACCTACATGGGCACCGCCGACAGCCAAAGAAACAGACCCAGGGTGCTGGTGGGTCCCAGAAGAAATTAGCCCCTGCCCAAAAACGGATGACCCACCATGCCATCCTGCACTGCATGAGGGCCACAGTCATAAAGGACTGAGGTGTAAGACAGTAATTACATCTAGGAAGTGAGTGGACATTCAACAAGACCATCAGGCAGACTCTCAGAATGGAGGTCACAAAGCGTACAGTTGGGTTTTCTGTCGGGCTGCAAGAAGTGAATGACTGGACATTGTGGAAAGATAGGCCCCTCCAAAATGTAGGAAAGGACCTCCAAAATGTAAGAAAGGACATCCAAAGCATAGCCCTTGGAAAAGAACAAGAATGATGGTGGTACACATAGGCTATCTTGCAGCTTATCAGCGAAATACTCAGGACAAGCAGCCTTAAGGAGGAGCAGCAGAACAATTGGAGAGTAATAACCATCTGAGACCAACTACAGACATCAGAAGCACAGCCCTTGGAAAAGAAGAAATGGCGGTATAATGTGGTGTGTAGAATCGTTGCTAAGTAACTGCTTTCTCAAACAAACATGTTTCCACAGCAACAACTGAACAGCAGTAATGTAACTGTTTTCTGTGTGGTCCATGCCAAGTTGTTATAATCAGAACAGTTAGTGAGAGTCAGTTGAGTTCAGTTAGAGAACTGCTGAGGTTCAGTCATTGTGAGCTGTTGCTGTGATAAGCTGGTAACTGAGGCTGAGGATAGTTAGGGAACCCAGAGGAAGAGGAACGTCCACCGTTGGAAACTACTACCGAGCAGCAGCAGGTGAAGACGTGACTATGGGCAGTGGTGTGTGTGTAATAGTGAATTGTAAAGTTTAGTCTCACGCTGTATCAAAGAGTGCAATAAAACAAATCATCATTGTGACACTCATATATAATCACTCCAATCATGTTACAATATAATATCATGCCTCAGAAAAAATAAATAAAAGCAGGACACTTCTAGTCTGCATTTTCCTGCTCTGTGTGAATCTTTTATTTCCATACTCATAATACAACATGTCATAAATAATGTACATGAAATTTAAACAATGTTTATTATTTCTCTGACAGACTCCAGAAGGTAATGTGAAATACCAGCAGGTAGAATTCTTCTATCCATCAAGACCCAGCATCAGTGTTCTTCAGGGTTTAAATGTTGATGTGCTGGATGGTCAAACTGTGGCCCTAGTTGGACAAAGTGGTTGTGGAAAGTCAACTTGCATACAGCTCCTCGAAAGATTCTATGATCCTGTCTCAGGCTCTGTGGTGAGTCATTATTCTAATATGCATGAGATAAGTTCAAACCAAAATATATAAAATCACATGTTTACAAGTCAAAGTTTATTTTCCTTTTCCTGTGTTGACCTTCTGCAACTTACATGAACATGCAATGGCTGGCAGGGGCACAAGTGAGCTCAGATACACATGATATCACAGTTTGAAAATGGAATTTGATTTATTTCATTCTGGTCCGTCACGCTAATAATATCATAAGAGGTTAAACAGTTCAATCCAGTGTGACTAGTAAAGATTTTTCCTATTTCAGTCCTTCATCCCATACATGTTTCGGTCCTTACAGACCATCCTCAGAGGGATATCAATACAATTGGAATACACTATTACAATATGTTTGTGATATATACATACAATGTTGATAAAGTACAATGGCTATAAAATCTAATGTTTTAACAACTACAAATATTTACAATTAGTTTGTTAGATTTTCTTTGTTCGAAATTGTAAACCAAGCTGGTTTGTGTCCTTTATTGTTTTCTTCTCTTGAAGGGGGCCAAACGTGTACCACCTTGTAGTTCTGTTTTTTTTATTATTATTATTTATTTTTGGTTTCATTTTTCTTTCCTTTTTGTGTGTGTGTGTGTGTGCGTGTGCGTGCATGTGCGTGTGTGAAAAAGACTGCAAATACAGGGGATGGACAAAAATATGGAAACACCTTGTGAAATATATGCCTGAATTGAAGTGTTTATTTTAGCAACGTTTGTAGGTGACGATGTCATATCTGCGCAATAGCAGTACCTGTACAACCTCCGCAATACGTTCCAAGCTTCATTTGTTGTCGAGACAGTGTTCTGTGCAATCTTTAGTGAATCGTGTCAGAGCTAACAGAATTCGAATGCGGGCAAATTGTTGGGGTCTGTATGGTGGGTGCTTCCGTAACCAAGGTAGCCGAGGTTTTTGGTGTTTCGCGAGGCACAATATCCAAGATTATGACCGCACACAGGAGGACTGGAAAAACCGCATCCGATAAATACCAGCATGGACGGAAATGTGTGTTGTGTGATCGAGACAGACGAACATTGCGTAGGATTGTGACGAAAAATAAGAAGACTACAGCTGCAAAAGTGGCTGCTGAACTGAATGTCACACTCACAAACCCTGTCAGCACCAAAACAGTACAAAGGGAACTCCACAAGCAGGGTATTTCTGGACGAGCTGCAATTCCAAAGCCATTCATCAGTGATCAAAATGCCACTAAGAGGAGAGTGTGGTGCCGATGTCATAAAACCTGGACTATGGAGCAATGGAAGACGGTCATTTGGTCGGATGAGTCCACTTTCACACTTTCTGACTTCTGGCCGAGTTTACATCTGGAGAACGCCATCCCAAACTTACGATTCAGATTGCTTGCTGCCAAAAGTGAAACATGGTGGGGGTTCAATCATGGTGTGAGCAGCCATATCGTGGTATTCTGTCGGACTCATCATTACCCTGCAAGGCCACTTCACTGCCAGCGACTGTGTGACCATTTTGGGCGACCAGGTCCATCCCATGGTGCAAACTTTATTCCCCAATGGTGATGCCATTTACCAAGACAACAGTGCCCATGTTCACACAGCTCACATTGTCCAAAACTGGTTTTCTGAGCACTAAGATGAAGTGAAACTTCTGCCATGGCCCCCACAATCGCCAGATATCAATATTATTGAGCCTTTGTGGTCTGTTTTGGAGAGCAATCTGCACGTGTGTGCTATCCACCTTCATCATTGTTAACAAAACTTGCCAGTGTTTTGCAGGAAGAATGGTACAAGACTCCCTTCCAAATCATACAGGACCTCTATTTATCCATTCCAAGGAGACTGCAAGCAGTTCTGCAAGCCAGAGGTTGTCCTATTCCATATTAGTCACGGTAATGTGTTTTTTTTTGGGGGGGGGGTGTTTCCATATTTTGTCCATCCCCTGTATATTATTGTTATATTGTAATATTTCAGCAAACCCTATTTTGTTATTTTGTCCTACCTTTAATGTTGTCCTGTGGGTGTTCACGGCATGCTGTGTTGTTATACTGTTCTAGGGTATGTTGAGCCACGTATTTGTACTCCTTGTGTCTATGACATTTATGTGGGCATGTACTGATGTTGTTTTACGATGTTGAACATGTTGTGCTGATTATCACTTTCCCTTGTATGTTTTTGTTCTTCAGTCAATTTATTGAATTTATTAAAGCTTTCTTTTATATTCTTGATGCTCCTTTTTTTTGGCATTTTCAGCCATTTCATTGATTACTGTCATAGGCCCGTACTGGTGGCATTTATTTAGTATATGTTGGGCAAATGCCGATTCGTATTTGTTTAGTCTTATATTTCTTATGTGCTCCTTATACCTTGTTGTTAGATTGCTACTTACTTAGATTTAAATCTAATTAAAAAACACAGACAAATAGAGATGGAAATATACAGAAAACCCACAATGACAGATATAACAACAAATAATAACTCATGCTACCCTAAAAAACAAAAATTAGCAGCATATAAAAATTGGATACACAGACTTCTCACACTGCCCCTCAAAGAAAACGCTAAAAACAGAGTTAAATAATATTATTAATATAGCACTAAATAATGAGTATAAGAAAGAAGACATCCCACAACTACATAACAAACTCAAACAAAAGAAAAATAATCCAGATAATAAAGCTGAAAAAGAACAAAAATGGGCCACATTTACCTATATAGGAAATTACATATGGAAAATCAAAAAACCATTCAAAAACACAAACTTAAAGATAGCCTTCAAAACAACTCACACCATAGGTAAACTAGTAAATGAAAAATGATTTGGCCATGCCATAGCTCAAGCAGTTAGTCGCTGGCTTCCCACCGCGGCCGCCTGGGTTCGATCCCATGTCTGGTCAAGTGGGATTTGTGGTGGACAAAGTGGTGCTGGGGCAGGTTTTCTCCAAGTACTTCGGTTTCCCCTGCCAATCTTCATTCCACCAATTGCTCCACAATCACCCTCACCTATCATCTGGGGCTGGTACAATAGGCCAGAAGTGGTCGCAGTACAAGGGACTTAGTCCCACCCCACTAGCAATAAAAAAATGAGAATTGAGAAACAAACCCCTATGAACACAGTGGGGTAGACAAAATAACCTGCCAAAGCTGTCAGAAAGTATACATCGGCCAAACTGGTAGAAATCTAGCAGCAAGGTATGAGGAGCACATAAGAAATATAAGACTAAACAAAGATGAATCAGCATTTGCCCAACATATACTAAATAAACACCACCAGTATGGACCCATGAGAGTAATCATGGAAATGGTTGAAAATGCCAAAAAAAAGGGAGCATCATGAATATAAAAGAAAACTTCAATATATATCGCTTTAATAAGCTCAACAAATTGATAGAAGAGCAAAAACATACAAGGGAAAGTGATCACCAGCATAAGATGTTCAGCATCATAATACAACATCAGTACACACCCACACAAATGTCATGGACGCAAAGAGTATAAATGTGTGGCTCAACACACGCTAGAACAGTATAATAACACAGCACGCCGTGAACACCTACAGAATGACATTAAAGGTAGGACGAAATAACAAAATGTCACATAAAAACAAAATAGGGTTTCCTGAAATATTACAGTATACCCATAATATATTTGCAGAGTTTTTTCTAAAAAAAAAACAGAACTACAAGTTGGCACAGGTTCGGCCCCCTCCAAGAGAAGACGTAATAAAGGAGGACATGAACCAGCTTGGTTTACAATTTCGAACAAAAAAATCTAACAAACTAATTGTAAATATTTTAACATACTAAGACAGCAGCTGTGGTTGTTAAAACATTAGATTTTATACCCATCATACTTTATCAACATTGTATGTATATATCAAAAACATATTGTAATAGTGCCTTCCAATTGTATTGATAGCCCTCTGAGGATGGTCTGTAAGGACCGAAACATGTAAGGGATGAAGGATTGAAATAGGAAAAATCTTTACTAGTCACACTGGATGGAACTGCTTAACCTCTTTTGAAAATGAAAATTCATGTGGAATCATTTACTAAGCTTGAGATGAATTGGTATTTGCTTCTTGGCATATGAAAGAGAGAGAACATAAAATATTTTTTACAGAATGAAGGCCATATATGGTAGCATGTGTATCTGTGGATCGTGTCTCTTAAGTGGGCCCAGAAATATGACAATTATATACTGGAGTTGAATGATACTGTGCAGTAAGATGAAGCACACCATATCATGGCACTGTACAGTATTGCAGAAACTGAATGCCTAATCCCCAACTTTCAGTAACATTGTAAATAGGTATTAGTTCAGTCCATAGTCTGATCAGTAAGGGAACTGGGACTGAACAAAGTGTGCAATATAATGTGCCACATAAGTTGACAAAATCAGTGAAGTAGATGCATTTAGAGATCTAGGGCCATATTTGCCCACTGTAAAGCAGGGGGTTACAATTTTCCTGGACGAATTGTGATAGCTGATGAGTTACAGATGTACTATTTCCATTGTGATACCAAACAAGCTAGCATCCTTTATTGCCCAAACCCAGAATTCCTCAGTACCTCCATCAGATGGACAGATTATGTTTTCTAGTATATGAATTGCATCATAGTGACAGATTTCTTGCGGACGTAATCATCAATTGAAAATTAAATATTATAGAAGTTTCTGAAGAAGAATCTGCTTTCACCATGACACTACACATCCTTATGCCTCTCAGACAACAATTGCAGCAATCAAAGAACTGCTCATAAATATCATGCCACACCTTCCTTACACACCAGATGGTGTGTCATGTACCTGCCAACTCTGTGGAATCCACTGTCTTATTTCTGATGTGAATCTGCATGATTCATGAAGAATTTGATGCTGAGCAAGCAACTTACACCCAGGCACAGACAATAACAAAAGATTTTCACTGCACTGTCATCACTTCATACAAGAGCTGCCAACATAATGACTGCTGTTACTCTAAGTGTACACAACATCCTGCTAAGCATATTA